GCCACCACAAGAGGGGAAGCAATTTTTAATTTTTTAAAATGTCAATTTTTTTACGCAAACTGGAGATACTCAAGATACAAAGTCACCTCCGAATATATATATAATTTCGGAGAAACAAACAGCCTTGTATCCTCCGACAGTGTTGCCGGATTTTCGGAGGTCGCAACGTATCTTTAGTATCTGGGATATATATCAGATTTATTTTGTCCACTGCTTCATGCTATATGTGCCATACATTATTTAGTAATAATAATAATTATTATTATTTTTGTTATAAAAGACAAAATATTAAAAATAATAAAAATGGAGTAGGTACTTTGAAATAAATAATTTATTTGATTTAAAAAAGAACGTATTGGTATATGATAGCCGGATTTAGGACAGGGCCAGCGGGGCCACGGCCCCAGGGCCCCCACCATTTAGGGGCCCCCACCAATGCAATATGTAGCTTTTTAATGAAACGAATATGAAAAAAATTATCAAAAAAATAAAAAATTGGGTCGGTTATACCGCGCGAATTCTTTAATTTTTCGTAGATCTAACTATCACACTCAAAGTTTTGGCGCGCGAAGACGTTTTTATGTAGTTTATAGTCATAAGTTATGACTCAAAACAATTGCTCCTTTAGTGCTTTTCGTAACTTTTTTGTAAATACAGGCAAACAGTCGATTACTTATACCTAATCTAATATTAAAGTTAGTTTTTGTCCCAGATTTTTATTGGTACATTGGAGTGTTGTGGAATATTTTCCGGTGTTTCCGAAATAATGTTTCGTTCTTTTCTTTGGACAAAACATTTTTTTATTATTGATGATTTTGTATGAAAAACAGACAAATAATACGACTTTTGATGCACTTTCTTTTCAGTTTGCGAAAAGTATTAAAAATACAAACAAAACATACATCAATTTATATTTTACTTGAGTAAAATATATATAAGGTTATGTTCGTATTATTCAAAATATATAAAATATAAAGTATATACAAACACTTTCATTCACAATTCTATTCTACTATCTACGTTTTTATAGTTTTGCATACGAATTTATAATTTCTCAGACTTGGGTAAAATGTATATGGTTATGTTCGTATTATTCAAAATATACAGGGTGATTCAGACTTGTGGTGACAAAAGCTCAGTGGAAATTCATCAAAATATGAAAAAAAGTTCCTATAAACACGTGTCAGAAAAAGCTTCATTATCGAGATACAGGGTTTTTCGTTTAAAAAAAATTAGTTTTGGCCGATTTTATTAAAAATTTATATGGTTTATTAAATAATAAATGATTCAAGGATAATAAAAAATCACGTAAAGTTCCTCTAGCTTAAAAGTTTACCATGAGTTTTAAAGTGTCAATTTTTTTTAGAAATATTGAGGGCCCAGGGCCCCAAAACTCTTAATCCGGCCATTGATAGGTCTTGCAGGTATAATGGCAAAAAAAATGTTTTATTACATAACCCATGTAAAATCTTTATTTATCGTGCGATTTTTACCAGATTTGTTTTAAAGGTAAAATCTTGATAAACTGTATTTTTGAAGCAAAAACGCCATATTTTTACTAAATACAAGGCCTACTATGTCAGTTTTTAAGAGTTAATTTTTAAGAATTCATATTATCTATTTTTTTAAACAAAATCTAAGCACGGCACTGGATTCACCTTCCCTTAAAATGACCTTATACTAAATTATATTAAAAATGTAAATAGAAAAATATAGAGAAATAATAACTACAAAAATTTATACATCAAAAAAACATTGAAATAAAATTAAACTAATAGTATAACATGGTATACTTATTATAAGTTTAATTTTATTTCAATGTTTTTTTATGGATAACGACGAAATAAATTTTTGTAGTTATTGTGCATTTTTCTACTTAAAATTTTTTAATAAAGTTTAGTAAAGGGTCGTTTTGAGGGGGTGGTGAATCCAGTGCCGTGCTTAGATTTTGTTTAAAAAAATCGCTAATATGAATTCTTAAAAAATTACTCTTAAAAACTGACATAGTAGGCCTTGTTTGTACAAATATGGCGTTTTTTGCTCCAAATATACAGTTTATCAAGATCTACACCTTAAAACAAATCCGGTTAAAATCGCACAATAATTAATGATTTTACAGGGGTGAGTTGTAAAAAAATGGGTCACATTGTATATGTACTGTTTTGCTTGCAAGTTGTTTTTTAAAAACTTTTCAAACCGATTGACTTTTGAAAGAATTATTAATATTATTATTATCAATAAGTTTTGTTATTTTAATATTTATATATTAATATTATTTTTAACATTTTTTATTATTTTTTTTTTAACATTTCAATTGTATTTTTGTATTATTTTTATTTTTAATAATTTTTTTGTTATTTTTACTATTTTTATTTTAATTATTTTTTTTGTTAATATTTTTATTACGTAGGTATCTACTTCAATTATTTATATTCCTTTTACAATCTTCATTATTTTTATTTATAAATAAAACTATAGTTTTGTTGTATTATTTTAATTGTTTTATTAATATTATTTATATTTATAATTTTAAAAAATTAATCTTATTGTTATTATTTTTATTAATTTTTCTAATAATTATTATACCCAATAATTTTGAATATATTTATTAGTATACTTTTTATTATTTTTATCAATTTTACTTTTTTAATTATTTCTTTATTTCTAATATTTTTGATATTTTTATTATTATATTAATAAAAATATAAGAAAGAAATTTAAGTAAACAATAAATAGGGATAATTAAAAAACATAAGTAAAGTAAAACATTTTTATCTATTAAAATAGTTATGAATAATAATTATTATAATTATACCTAATTATCATAAGGGTAACTAATTAATGTTTTTTTTTCGTTTTTCTTAAGGTGTTGGACTTTGGCTTTAATAAGGGATACACTTCTTTTTATTTTCGTTTGTTCTAGAAAAGATTTAATTTCTTTGCTAGATGAATAAATATTTTTTTAATAAGGTTAAGGAATTTATCCTTTATTAACCCGATTTCCATATTTGTGCAGCCTAAAAATAATAACACATTTTTAAACAAATAAAAGTGAAAAAAGATTGTGTGAGTAAAAAATATTGTTTAAACACATTTTATGTGTTAAAATCATTTTGAACTTTTTTTGTTTAAATTCTTTATCTTTTTTGGTAATGATTTCATCATTACTAGTATCGTCTAAATCTAAATCTAAATTTACTTACCTTGAAAACCGACTCTCTGGATTATTAATTAAGTCCTGGAAGATATATTTTTAACTTAAATCGTTATTTTACACTTAAGATGTTAGAACAAAAGCGAAACTGCGTAACAAATAACATATAAGAAGTATTAAAGATCCTCAAGTCTGAACATCTATGACTGCGCGAGATATTGCAAGGTTGCCAAATTTCGGAGGTAACAAATGTACGTATACATGACGGAGGTAACTTTGATGTGTCTGAATCTGATTAAAAAGCGACACTAGCGCCAATTCATATATGGTGGAACTAAAAGTTCCTTTTTAAGAGACTGGGGGGTCAAAGTGACCTCCGAAAAATTTTGCACAGATTGATTACTGACACTCCCCCAATGTCAAAAATATGGTTAAACACTGTGACCTCCGAATTTGGAGGTCACAGCGTCATATATGAGGTCACAACGTATGAAGGGTCTCCGTTTTGGAGGTGACAATGTACCCTTTATCAATATATATATATATATATATATATATATATATATAATATAACTTTTGGTTTCATAAGGACCGGTTTATTAATGTCCAGTTAAGTGTCTTAACTGGTACATAAATTAAAGTGGTAGCTAAACTGTTTATCAATATGCAACTAACGTTTACTAAGATAACTGGAAGTAAATTTAACTGGAAGCTGCATGTGTCAGATAGGGAATTAACTAAAAGTTTTCGCGGTTTAAAGGTTATATTTGTGATTGTGTTTTGTTTTTGAAATGAATATTGGAGATTTTTTTGAAAGTCACGACGATGAACAAATTGATGAGTTTGTGCAACACGAGAGAAGACTAGTTTTAGAACGGAAAGAACATTTTTAAAATTATGACGATTTTTTTTAGATATCAGCTGCAGAAGCAAATATAGAGGAGGAAACAGAAACTTTTACGAATATGTACGTACAAGTTCTACATATTTGTCCACGTATAAAGAGAACAATTTGAACCGATAGATTTTTTTTGGTAGGTAGTTATTTTAAAAATGCGATATTTTTAAATTAATGTGTGTAACAAAAAATAAAAGATAATAAATTGTATAAAATATATTAATGTATGTATTTTTATTTAAAAACATACTCATATCTACACCTAAAAACTAGCACAGTGATATTATAAAAAAAAATAAACTAAAGAAAATAAACAGTATATTGTGCGATTGGTGGGACAAAGAGGAAATTCCTCAAGCGTGAATTCTCCTTTTTATTGTATTCATACAATTTTGAAAGTATAATTTGAATTTTATCAATTTATAACAATTATAATACTTAGGTATTCAGTTAACACATGTTCTTAGATTTCCCTTAAAACTGATCCGCCACGATTTGTGTATAGCCAAACAAACGCAATGATTTTGATACAAATGAACGTTGATTTTTCTATCCTTATTATTATTATTATTATTATTTCAAATGCAATCTCTACATTTTATGTAATGTGATTGATTACAAAACTTTAAATACAACAAATGTCTCAATTTTTTAATTTTTAAGTAAAATGATTACAAATTTCAAAATGTAAAACTCATAGTATAATTGCCAGAGGAATAAAAATAAATTATTTTGATAAACATAATTCATTTTTATTTCTAGTTTGTTTACATATTTAATTGATTAATTAAACATTTGTTGGGGACTTGGAAATAATATTTTTAGATAATTAACAATTCAATATTTCTTCCGCAAATTTATTTGAAGAGAAAATTTTATTTGTGCCTTTTTTTAATATTCACTCAATTAAATTTTTACTATAATTACAGCATATTTGCTGTGTTTTAGAAAATAAAGCCAACGCCTGTAATCGATTCCGCAGTGATAGAATTATCAGATAATGAAGATTCAGAAAAGGAGACCAGCAAAAATAATGTATGTGATACAGTGAATTTAGAAGATGATGATTCAAAAGAAAACAAAGATACCAACGATGCAAAAGAAAATAATAGCCCATCACCTGAAGAAGACAAGCCCACACAAAGTGCATCTGAGGAACAAAGCACTTGCTCATCATTGTCTAGCCTAGAGGATCATCAAGGGTTAAATGAATTTTTAACCACCTGTCAAGAAGTCACAGCTGGAACACAGTACGATTTACAATTTAAATTTACCAATATGAAAAAACTGTTCGTCAAATGCGGCCGGGATCACGCCAGCACCGACAACTTTAAAAGAAAGTTATCTGAATGGACAAAAAGAGCTTCTGGATGTTCCATGGAAGCTGCTTGCGTTTTTCATGAATTTTATTGTTATTTAAAGAGCATGAGTAATACAGGGTACGAGGTGGAATCTGAAGAACAAAGGGCCAGATTGAAAAAACTAGAAATAACCATAAAAGCTTTGCAGAAGAAGATTAAGGAGTTCGAGGAGCAGGAAGTCGATTTTGAAGAAGAGGAGAATTCCAGTTTTATGAAGCTCGATCTGTAAGTTTTTAATTAAGATGAAAGGATTTATAGTTAGAGTATATTTTATGCAAGCAGTTTTAATAAATGTCTGTGTTAATATAATTTAAATCAGTTATTTAAACTCATGATACAAATTTTAGGGTTCTTTTTTCCATTTAAGTTTTCTTAGATACCGCTGTATTTACCAACACTCTGAAACCTCATTTCTTTAACGCGACCCCTAGGGCAATATTAGCCAATCTGGGTTGTAGATATTTACAGGGTGTTCTACGTTAAGATCGACATAGAGTAATGAATAATGGTTTTGACAAGCAATACCCTTGTGGAAATTTTTCTCTGAGAAAGTCTTACTTTCTCTGAAAACGTCTGAATAATACTTATTAAGTCGGAAAAAGTATGAATAAGTCTTATTAAGTCAGACTAATAGCAAGATTTGGGAGTCTTCTGGAAGAGTTAATTAGACTTTTTAAGACTTAATAAGACTTTTAGTAGAGAAATGGTAGGTACCTATGGCGATAAAAATAAATATCCGAAATAATTCATAGAGGTTGTATTTGGTTATCGTAAAATAAAACACATAGAAAAGTATTTATTAACATTTTTGCTGTTGTTATAATTATAGCCAAGTTTATTGCATAATTACATATATAATAACATAGGTAAGATGTAATAATTATAACAATTATAATTTTATACAAACGATGCGCTTGACATGCATCAGTGCTGCCAGAGCAGATGGTCGGATAATCCGTATATATTCGTGGAAAGGGTGGGGGAAGCCTCGAAAAATCCGTAAAAATCCGTTTTTGTCTAAATTTCGAAAAATTTCTTCTATAAGGGGGATTTTCGTGACAAAACATACCTTTCGTCAAAGAAAATCCGAAACATCTCAGAATTTTTCGGGGGAGTTTCAGAAGTTTGAACCTCTTCGTCAGTGATATAATTCTCGTCACTTTCCATTTTTCACAAAATAAAGTATTTTATATACAGATTCGGATATATAATAAACATTGACTTTGAGATCAAAATATTGCCACAATGCAGTTCAATGCACTGAACTGGAGTCAGTATTGGTTAGTCGTTACTATTGGTGGCATTGCGCCGCTTATATATTGGCAGCAATAACAACGTGTTATAAAACCTTAACAAATGATATGAAACTATCGTTCTCTTTGTCACACTCAATGAAAAAGCATATGTTTCGCATATATTCGGTGTTTAAGAACCCTATATTAAGAACACATCCTTTTTCAATCCGCTTTCTTTTTCTGTCTAACGTAGTAAAAAGGAAGAGGAATAGAAGCGTGACAAAGATGATCAAAAAACGGGGCAAAAATGATGTTTTTTTAGTATTAGTATGAAGCTATCTTAAAAATCCGTAAAAATCCGTATTTGATGAAAATCCGTTCAAAATCCGTTTCCAATTTCTCTAGACCTGGAAAATCCGTAAAAAACGGATAAATCCGTTCATCTGGCAGCACTGACATGCATGCTTTCATTGTTTCCACCATAGAAAAAGGAGTTAATATCATGTCTATAGACATGATATTTTCGATAGACTCATAAGACAAATATGGTTGATCTTTGTGTTTATGTACAGTGTTGCCATAAAAGTTCCTGACCATAAATTACAAAATACTAAAATAATAATAAAAATGTAACAGGATAGAATAAAATAATTGTGCATATTTAGTAAATATACAATATTATTTACTGAAAATTTCTTTTGTTATTATTTTGATAGAAATTTGCAAATCACCCGATTTCACCCGCAAATATTACGAAAATACCCGATTTTCGAGTAAAATACTTGCACGGCAACACTGTGTCCCACTGACAGATCAGCTGTGCTCTAATTGGTCAGCTAGCTGAGCTGGTCTCTCGACGTTTAGAAGATTTGTTTGTAACAATGTTTAGATAGGTAAATATTTGCGTGTATCAAAAGAAACTATTAAAATAAAACGTACAGTGGCAACAACAAATGCGGGGCTTGAACTAAAAATTTACTCTTGAAAATTAACATAGCGATTAGCTGCAATAAACCAATAAAACATCAAACGAAAAACCAATTGAAGGGGTTAGAGCTAAAACCGCCCAAGTGCATTTTTAAGTCCAAATTTTTTAAGCGTGTTACCGGATAGTTGAAAATTTTGACTTCGGTGGTTCAGCTTTTCCCTTCAATTAATATAGAAATTAAAGTTTAAGAAAAAATCGCACATAATGCTTCCCTGCTTTAGCGGAAGCTCTTTTCCCACATCCTTCTCTATTGACAATATAGCCAAACCCACTAGTCGTTCTTTTTACATGTATGTGCCAAGGTATACCTTCTTGATCTTAAATATTTTTTTATTAATTTTAATTTTGAAAAACTCTTTTCCCGGCGGAATTATAATTGTTTTAAACAGATACAGGCAACTTCAAATACACATTTAGCAACATTGGACTGAATAATAATAGATGACGATACCTACTAAAGATATTATCTCTGGCAATGACCAGATATTATTTTGTCACGCTGTGCTTACAGCTTGCCATGTTGCTAAAATGTACAATAATTTCGTTAAGACGCCTTGATGCGCGCGGGGCCTATAAAACGCAACCGCACCGTTTGCACATGCCTCACGCCGGCACTGTATCTTACCTATGTTATTATATAGGTAATTATGCAATAAACTTGGCTTATAACAACAGCAAATATGTTAATAAATACTTTTCTATGTGTTTTATTCTACGATACGCAAATGAATTATTTCGGATATTTATTTTTATCTCCGTAGGTACCTACCATTTCTCTACTATAAGTCTTATTAAGTCTTAAAAAGTCTTATTAACTCTTCCAGAAGACTCCCAAATCTTGCTAAACAAATTTACCAAAAATTATTAAAATCGGAGATGGTTGGGGGAAGAACCTTTGGTTGATTTGATATGGACTGACCCATACTTTACAAATTATCTCTAAAACAAATCATTTTATCAAAATTTTATAAGAGACAAAATTTTTTTAACAATAAATGATTACCTGAAAAAATACCGTTTGGAAGTCATTGGCGCACGTACTAAAAATAGGGGGAGTCAGTGAGTACTGGACCCCCCCCTATTTTGATTATTTGACAATTGTTTTTTGCTTTGTTGGTCTCAAAAAATGTAACTATTTATGTTGAAGTAGTGTACCGAATTTGAACTTAATATCTTATCAATTACTCGAATTATTAAAAAAAAACAGTTTTAAATTTCAAACTTTGTCGCCCTGTATATCGAACATGAAGCTCTAAATTGAAAAATGGTATTATGAAAGTCTTATTGTTTTAACTCAAAGAATATATGGTTAACGGATTGACTTCCTTTTCCCGGACACCCTGTATTTCTGCTACTTTGCAAATACCACCTGAAAGCTTACATGAAACACTTTTAGATAGCGCCACAATGTCAATTTTATTGAAAATGTGACTTAGGCACTTCTTGCATTGACTCCTTCATTTGGTATTTTTACATAACTTTTATTTTGGCAAAAAAAGAAAAGAAAATTATTTTTTCGAGTACCCCAGTGTTTTAATCTAATCTTTTAAAAATTAATAAATGCAAAACTTTCCTTTTAGCTATACAGTTAGACTGAATAAAGTTTACAAAAAATATTGTGAATTGCTAAAAAAGAATCCATATTCAGGAAGAAAGACTTATGAAAGGTTGGGGTTTGTTCAATCGGAGTTCGTCGTAGTTAACCAGGCTATAAACAAGAAATACAAAAACAGTCTAAAGTTTCCAACATACATTGAAGTAGAAAACATAATAAAAAAATGCGTGAAAGAAAATGGTTTGGCTCTAAGTGAGGGCAAAATAAAAACTGAAAGTAAGAATATAATTTATTTTTAAATTTTCTTTATAATAATTTTTTAGGCGAATCTGTGTTTAAGAATTTGGGTGATATTCTTCAGACAAGACGTAGGAAAGAACTTTATGAATGTCACAGTTTGTATATAGAGAATGTAGATGATCCAGCAAAAGAAAGTAACGATTTAGACCAGATGTTAAAGAAAAACAAAAAAATAGCTGCTGAAAAAATTGATGAAGTAGTTCAGAGGTATGTTTAATATTTGTTTTTGGTTCATGGTTTTATTAAATGACAAATCGAAGTTTTATGTGGTCTATTATTAAATACAATAAAATATTTACTCTTTCATATATTTCTAATTGGTTAACAAAATGGTTTTATGAGCAAAAGAATAAAAATATTATCAACTGATTTAATTGTCCAATTAAAACTTTATTTAGGTATATGTTGGCAAAATTCTAAATCAGAATAAATATTTAATTTTTTTAAACAAAATTTAACATTTTTTAAATTACTTTCTTACAACTTAAGGTTTCATGTTGAAAAATCTGACGGTTAGTTTTGTTTTAATTTGATGGTTAATAAAAAATATGCAATAATTTAATTATACATTTTAATCTTGAGTTTTCATGTATATGTTACAAATACAGTAAATTTACTAAGATTTGCCGTGAAAGTCCGAAGAGTTTCCAATGCTTCTATAAGGTAGTATCTCAATTTGAAGAGGTAGCCTTCCTTAGTATAATTTTCAACAAGAAAATAATTAAGTTACATTAAATGTTGGATGCAAAACTCGATTTTTGCAAATCTTTAAAAATATATATTTTATCCTATGTACATTACTGCACTGCCTACAGCATACCTAAATAAACCAGATGTATAAGTTAGTATTTGTAGAATAAAATACATTTAAAAACTTAACGCAGATGCAAAACTCGGTATTTGCTGTTGTGACGACATAACAATCACCTGATTAATTGTTATTTTTTGGTATTTGCACTTTTCACTGGCAAAACTTGGTCTTTGAACGAGGAAGATGCAAAACTATGTTTTTAAATCTTTTGATTACAATTATTTACTAAAATACCTAATTTTAAAGGATTTTTTACTTTTTTGAATTAAAATGATGCAAAAGCACGTCTATACAACTTTTACATTTTTTTTCGTCAAAAATGATCTTATGAGCGGTTTTTCATATTTTGCTTAAAATCACTTATCCTGCAAATACAGAATTGTGCATCTAATGTACTCATTTGTTTTCATACGCCATTTTTTTATTTTGTAACTCACGAGCTCTCTTATAAGATTTCCATAAAAAATAAACGATAATAAATTTTTAAGCTATTAACATGATCCTGTTTTGATTCTCAAATTTGAAAACGATTTTTTAAAATAATGTAGGTTAATTAATTAATAATGATTAAACTTGAGCAACCAAAGAGGAATATTTTGATCTCTTAATTAATAATTACAGTCAATTTTTTATGGAAATACCAAAAACACTTTATTGCACTTTTTAAAATTGTCATTTTAAGTTTTGTGCTGCAAACTTAGGAATGCAAAAAATATGACAGTTTTAAACCTTAATTTTGCCATTATAACAAATTAACAATTTATATTGTTACTTATTTGCTTTTGATGTTTTTAGTTTTAAATGATACTTTAATTTGTAATGAAGTATTAATTTGTATACATTAGACGCACAACTCTGTATTTGCAGGATAAGTGATTTTAAGAAAAACATGAAAAACCGCTCATCATTTTTGAAAAAAAAATGCAAAAATTGAATAGACGTGCTTTTGCATCATTTTTATTCAAAAATGTAATTGAAATCAAAAGATTTAAAAACATAGTTTTGCATCTTCCTCGTTCAAAGACCAAGTTTTGCAAGCGAAAAGTGCACCGCCCTCGGTGGTGTAGTAGTTAGCACTGCAGACTACAAGCCGAGAGGTCGTGGGTTCGAATCCCACCAGGGGTATGGTTGTTTATTTGTGTTTGTCATTGTGTATTTCTGTAATTGGGCCTTCTTCTTCTTCTTTAACTATTTATTTTCTCCACAGAGTAGGTGCCTATATGGAGAAAATTGGTCTTGAGTCTTCTTGACTCTTACTGACCAGCCACGAGTGTTCTATTGTGTCTGTTGTGCTTTGTTTCTTTTAGTAATGATGTATCTTCTTTGTAAGTCGATAAGGTAAAACAAAACAAACAAAGGATGGTCGCCCCAGGAGGATCCCAGGATGCTAATCATATCATATCTTTAAGTTAGATTTTTTAATAAATTTAAATATATAGCTATAGGATTCTACAAGCGGACATGCAAGTATAGATTTAATATTAAAAGGCATATGGTGTCCTATGGATAGCAAGCAGTTAATTAGTAAGTTAATATTAGCTCTGTTATTATTACATTCAAAGAAGAGATGATCTAGATCGCCAAATTTTCCACATGAACATAGTGGGTCGTCTTTTACTCCTATTCTACAGAGGTGTGCAGGATAGGAACAATGACCCATTCTGACTCTGCTTATTGTTGTAATACATTCTCTGTTTGTAAAATTTATGTTGTAAAACCATGGAATTTTCCAGGATTTATTTTCTAGGAAAGCATAGTTCTTCCCCTTATACACTGACGATTCTTTCCAATGTTTATGCCAGCTATTATACAATAATTTTTTTGAGGCTTTGAAAAATTCTGAGGAAGGAATTTCATATTTTTCTGTGTTTTTGTTTGCTGCTTCTTTGGCTATAGCATCTGCCCTTTCATTTCCAGTAATCCCTGAGTGACCAGGGATCCAACATAGAGCCCCTTTTCCCCCATAATCTTTAATATCATTGTATAACTGGTTAATACTTAAAGAAATGTTGTTAGATTTTCCGTTCCATGGATTATTTTTTATCTGTCTAAGTACGCTCAGAGAGTCTGAGAAAATAATAAATTTTTTTAGTTTATCTTTTAAACAAATTTTTAACGCAAAAAAAATTGGGCCTGGTGCCTGTTGAAAGCACATTAAAAATAATAAAATAAAAAAAAAAATACCAAAAAATAACAACTAATCAGCAAATACCGAGTTTTGCATCCGACAGGAAGAAACAAATACCCAGTTTTGCATCTGCGTTAAGTTTTTAAATGTATTTTATTCTACAAATATTAACTTATGCATCTGGTTTACTTAGTTATGCTGTAGGCAGTGCAGTAATGTACATAAATAGGATAAAATATATATTTTTTAAAAATTTGTTTTGCATCTAATGTCAATTAAAATCAGGACCCAAATGAAATAACGGTTTCTGTCCGGTTCCAGTTCCGCGAGAAATGAAATTTGATTTTTAAAATGAAATCTTTGTTATAAATTTTTTTGGCAAGTAATTAAATAAAGTAATACTTTGCCTCTTATTTTTTTATGAGGTTCTTTAATTGTATGCTTTGCTTATTTTTGATGACATGGGGGTGGGAGTCTAGATGGTGAATACGCCAGCAGTAGTTATTTACTTTTTTACACATAATACTTTTTTATACATATTATGGCAACCCACATAGTCTATGCTTGAAAACGAAAGAAAAAAATGCATATACCAAGGTTTACATAAGCATGGGTGAGGGGGGTAAGAGCATTGAGAATAAGATATTGTGCACATAGCATTATACTACAGGGTGTTAAAAAAAGGGATGTTTTTTTCCAAAATTTCAAATACCCATTCACAGGGCAGTTGAGCTTGATAGTCGTAATACCCCTTCCTAATAACAGTTAGGTTATCCCTCGGGTCGTTTTCGAGATTTTGTGGATATCTTGTCTAACTACAATTATATGGCAATTTTTCGAAAATTCACGTTATTCTTCATTTTAGTCCAAAAAATGAGCAATAGTTGATTCTTTGACTCTTATGTCTAATTTTGGAAATACGATATTGTGCATATAGCATGATACTACAGGGTGTTAAAAAAATAGATGTTTTTTTCCAAAATTCCAAATCCCTATTCACAGGGCAGTTGAGCTTGATAGTCCTAATACCCCTTCATAATAACAGTTAGATAATCCCTCGGGACGTTTTCGAGATTTTGTGGATATCTTGGCTAACTACGATTATATAGCAATTTTTCGAAAATTGTCGTTATTCTCCACTTAATTCCCAAAAATGAGCAAACTACGAAAGGTATCGATTAGTTATCAACACATCGTTTCCCTAATTTGCATGTTCTTGTGCCCATCTTCTTCTAGCAGAAAAAGAGGGTAGGCAGCTCTTTGTCTTGCGTGGTATGCAATCTTACATCCGTCATTTTATTTTTTTTAATGTGATTTGCTGTTTGAAAAATGTTTTCACGTTCGACGACAAAAATGACAAGAATAATTGAAGGAAGGAAGCTAATAATTTTGTTTGGTTTGCATTTTTATTTTCGAATTTAACCGAAAAAAATTGGTTTTGTGTGAAACATTTCACTTTTAATGAATCACGCAACGTACATAAACCTACCTTAAAACGCTTAGTTGATACCTTCAGTAGTTTGCTCATTTTTGGGACTTAAGTGAAGAACAACGTGAATTTTCGAAAAACTGCCATATAATCATAGTTATCCAAGATATCCACAAAATCTCGAAAATGTCCCGAGGGATAACTTGTTATTAGGAAGGGGTATTATGACTATCAGGCTCAACTGCCCTGTGAATATAATGCTATGTGCACAATATCGTATTCCCAAAATTAGACGTAAGTCAAAGAATCGACTATTGCTCATTTTTTGGAGAACTGGGGAATATCGACAATTTTCGAAAAATTGGTATATAATCGTAGTTAGCCAAGTTATCCACAAAATCTCGAAAACGTACCGAGGGATTACCTAACTGTTATTAGGAAGGGGTATTAGGACTATCAAGCTCAACTACCCTGTGAATGGGGATTTGGAATTTCGGGAAAAAACATCTCTTTTTTTAACACCCTGTAGTATCATGCTATGTGCACAATATTGTATACCCAAAATAAGACATTAGAGTAAAAAAATCAACTATTGCTGATTTTTTGGACTAAAATGAAGAATAACGTGAATTTGCGAAAAATTGCCGTACAATCGTGGTTAGTCAAGATATCCATAAAATCTCAAAAATGTCCCGAGGGATTACCTAACTGTTATTAGCGAGAAGTATTAGGACTATCAAGCTCAACTGCCCTGTGAGTGGGGATTTGGAATTTAGGAAAAATCATCTCTTTTTTTAACACCCTGTAGTATAATGCTATGTGCACAATACTGTATTCTCAAAATTAGACGTAAGTCAAATAATCCACTATTGCTCATTTTTTGGACTACTGGGAAATAACGACAATTTTCGATAAATTAGCATATAATCGTAGTAAGCCGCGATATTCACAAAATCTCGAAAACGTTTCGAGGGATTACCTTACTAATATTAGGGAGGGGTATTACGACTATCGAACTCAACTGCCTCATGAATGGGAATAACTTGAAATTTCGGAAAAAAATACATCTCTTCGTTTAACACCCTGTAGTTTAATGCTATGTGCAAAATATCGTATTCCCAAAATTTGACATAAGAGTCAAAGAATCAGCTATTCAGAATTTCCAAAGATTTTCAAAATCGATTCAGTAATTTTCCAATAAGGAGCTTTAAAATATTTTCCAAAAAACTAGGTGCGTCGATTTTTATGACGAGCAGTTTAGTCAATTCCATATTATAAATGGACTATATCTCAAAAACTGTTCTACTTTTCTAACTTTTGACGACATTATCGGATTCAGGGAACAGTTTTACATGGAAATTGACTGCTAAACGTTAAAAATACAAATTGCTATTGACGAGAATTATTAGTGGCTGCTTTTTCGCTATGACATTTTTGACTAACCCATATTTAGAGAGTAAAGAATAATCAATTATATTAAAAAACTTTTTTTTCAAAAGTACCCGTACTCTTTACTCGTGTTACTCTCTACAAATGTACATACTTACGAGTAAATATTTTACGAATACTTTTTTTAGTACTCGTGCCCAGCTCTGGTAAAGGGTAGAGGGCTTAATTTAACGAAATTAAATTGGGCTTAATTTAACATAATTAAACTCGATATTTAAAACTTGGGTACGCTACTACTAATATTTTTAGATTAAAAATACATCAATGTCTTTTACATTTTTTCTCTATCTTGTTTAATTTTCAAGAAAAAAATAAAATTTGTTTGTTAGCTCTCCCCTGGAAAATTTATAGTCGCGATTGAGCGGATAAACTAATTTATTTTCTATTCATAAAAATTAGGCAAGACAGAGAAAATGCGAGAGACAAAAAAAAATATTTTAAAAATTCGTTTATTCGCTTGCCCCTGAATATTTATCGTCCAGAGCTGATAAACGAATTTAATTTTTGTCTTGAAATTTAAGCAAGATAGAGAAAACACAATCAACAATTTTATTTTTAAATGCCTAATATAAAATTTATATTCATATTATAAATATAATTACCTACAATATTATATGGGGTCTCATAACCATAATTTTGTTTATTAATTTAACCAAGCCTTAAAGCATACAAGTTCAAAAAAAACTTTTCTTCTTATTTTTGCGAGTTCTATCAACCCTTTATAAAGAAATACAGAAAATAGGATAATGCTTTTCTTTCATGTTTTTATCCTTTTTGCATACAAAATATTTCTTTAATATATAAAATTTATAAATAAATAGATTTTACCTCGATAAATTAAATCTGCCAGTATGTGTATTAATTTATATTATTTTTTACAGTTTTGTTGAGAAAGAAAACATAGCAAAAACAAAGGAAGAAGAAACAAAAGATGAATCTGAAGATTCGGATAATTCAAATTACCAAGACAGCGAAGAAGAGTTGGAAACTGTGCCAATTACAGACTAATAATAATAATTGTTTTATTTATTTATGCTTGTATTTTATTAATTGATTAATGGTTTTATGAATTTATTATACCAAATAAAACAATATTTTTAGAAAATGAGTATATTTTCTGACTTATAACTCACACAGATTTCACTTTGTTTAACATAATTAAGAACTAATGCTTTACAATATTCCCCCTCTCTTTGTACAATTATTCTTAAGTCTACAAACTTACATAGCTGCTTTTTATTTTCTGTAGTTTCATTTCTTATAAATATAACAGCAATATTTAAGCTTTTAACAACATCATATAACATTTCAAAATTCTTCAAAGACCAAGAGTACAGACTTAAATTATTAACAAAAAACCTTTGAGACCAATAATAAGGTGAAATATTGTCAATAAGTACAAGACTTTGATTTTCATTACTATTAACAATCCTTTCTATATTTTGAATTGCTAGCTGAAACTCCTCCAAATTAAAACAATTTACAATTGTAAGGTTTTTTAAGGCATTCTCAATTATTTGACTTTTACTTTTAATATTTAATTTTTTTAGATGCATATTCATTATTTTGATTAGATCCATCAACTGGATTTGATGATCTACGTTAATAAAAATAACACCACAATCCCTAAATTCTTTATTGTAACTTGGGGGGAGAATGCATCTTATCATAAAGTCCATCAATAATTTGTATTTTTCATTGGCATCGGAACCAGTAATTTCTATCACTGAGTTCTGTTGCAAACTATCTTCAGGAAATAAAAGTGGGTTTATTCCTTCAAGGTACATTTTTTGCTTTATTCTGGAGAATAGATGCACCCCTGATTCAATTTTTGAATTCATTTTCTAAAATATGAATTTACACAGATAATAATTTTATTATGAAACCCAATATCTCCCAATACCTCCCCTTTCTATATAATATACCTACTTCGATATTTATGAATGTAACAATTTTATTTAACTTAAAAAGTAGGTAGGTATGTTGTTTTGTTAATTTTTAAACAAAGCATCTTTTTAACTCACCCTGTATTTAATTAATCCGTCATTAATTTATACCTGTTCTATACATAGAAACTTAAAACAAATTTAATAAACTCTCAGATGCAGGGTTGCCAACTGTAGTAAATAACAAAACCGTACCGGCGGCTAAAAAATGACCGTACTTTTCAAAACAGGACCGTACTTTCGCATTTTCACATATGACGTCAGCAAAACAAGCATAATTTTTAAAATATTTAATTTTGTAAAATTTGTTCACAAAACCATAAATAATATTTATTAAATATATAGATAAAATAAAAAATGTATTGAATGTATGAATTATAATTCATAATTATCATAATTTATAATAATAATTATTATGATGATTATGAATTGAAATTGTGATTTTGAAAATTCAAAATCACAACTATTGTGATTTTAAAATTTTCAAAATCACAATTCCAATTCATAATTATATAATCTTCTACTGGTCACAACCATGCTTGGTAATCTGGATTTTTAAGCCATTCCTGCCGAAATTTCTATATCAAATCAACAAACGTTTATAAAAATATTTATAAATATTTAGTCCAAACCTATTTACCTGTTTCTTATGCCCGGATTTTTTTTGCTAGGACAAACCTTGCTAGTAGTACTATCATCACTATCACTGGACATGTTTCAATCGGTTTTTAATAACAAATTATAACTTTACTTCAGAAATAAACGAACGCTGGGAATACCGCGAAACAAGTTTGATATGAGTTTAACACTAGCGGCAGTTATTAGAAACTGGGAAGAAAGAAGTTATAATTTACAGAACACTACTATATGTAGATTAAAATTTAGCGCCATCTCTAGGGCATTTAATCATTAAATGCCCTAGAGATGGCGCTACAGTCAGACAAAATCATAATATTTTTAAATCGCTTTAATTAAATAAAATTATGGAAAATTTAATAGTTTCTGTTTTGATATTTTTTCCTTAAAATACCGTACTTTTGGGGTACGGTCCTTAGGTTGGACCGTAAACCGTAATTTAAATCAAAATACCGTAAAAGTACGGTCAGGACCGTACCATTGGCAACCCTGCTCAGATGCCATCAGCGAGGGAAATCCACAGTGTTGCCAATCACAAAATATGAAATTACCCCCATCCAGTAATGAAAATCCTCACATTTTACCCGCCTTAATTTGAAAATCCTCACAAAATCCTCCCAATTAAAAAATGTTAAATAATTTTTTCGAGTTTTGTAATAGGTATTAAATAATTGTGAAAGGGTTATAACTATAGTTAAATTGTAGAAATAGGTACCGTCAACTGGGGCTACATTGATAATTGTGGGGCAACTTTGATTACACATGTCAGAACTTTTATTTTTTTGAATTACTGCGCTAGAAAAAAATTTTGGCGCGCTTTAACCCATCATATGTTTTTCAGTTGTCACACGTTAACGAGGGTGTAAACATCGTGGTGAGTTTTGCCGCGGTTCTCGTACTACAATGTAATAAAGTTTACTTTTTGGTTTTTATATTTTATAAAGCTTCAGAAATTTCTAGTATACAGCATGATCAATAAAAGCGTATTTATTTCTTAATTTCTGGTTGTTTTTTACGCAAATAGGTATGTTATTTTTAAAGTAAATAATTAAAAAAATTTATTTTTTTAAATTTATATTATAATTGAACGGGGTTTCATTATTTATAAGAGCAAAATTAAGGCATGGTCAAAGTTGCCCCAAATGAAGTAAAACTTTGATCGGGGCCATCTTTTTTTTTTTAATTTTTCTTAAAATATAGTGAATGCCAAATAAGGTTTTAGATTAATGAAAGTGATAACGCTACCTTTACCTCTACCTTTACCGCTGCCTCTACCGTTACCTTTAAAACTATAAATCCGGCTTAATTCATACATTGTTTTCCTATAAGAAACATTCTTGGTTGCATACCTTTGTAAGAATATATCATTATTTTTACGTCTTTTTTTCAAAAAGAAAAAATACAAAATCCTCACAAAATCCTCACATTTTACCTAACCCTCACAAATTCCCCACAAACGCATAAAATCCTCACAACGTGAGGAAATCCTCACACTTTGGCAACACTGGAAATCCATTTTGCCCAGTGTTGCCATTTATGTCAAATTTCAAGGTTACCCTATGCTGTCAATTGTCATTTTAACTGTCACCGTTTCACCATTCCAAAACAAAAGATAGTGTGCTAACATGAAAATTTAAGTTTTAGAAAAGAAAATAATATTGAATGTTAATAGTAAAAGTTAAACTAAAGGCAAAACAACTATTTGTAAGTTTTTATATAGGTTTAGCGTTAATTTAATAAACAATTTAGAATTGTAAAACTACCTATAGTGCTGTTTCTAGTTCATTGTAATTTTTAAGATCTAAATTAATTGGCAATTTAAGGTATTTATTTTATGTTGTGGGCCTAATATTGATGGAAATTCATTACAAGCCATTGATGCTTTGATGCAGTTATTATGCAAATGTTGCCATTAAAAATTTTATGACTGTTATAATTATTAAACAATTAATTTGTAGTTTATTCACAATGAATAATGAAGAAAAAGATAGTAAGTCGGATGTTTTTAACTTGATATTGAAGCTTCGACAAGAAAAAATCTACGTTACCAATGAGAAGAATAAAATACAAGAACTCAATGCATCTGTAAGTATACTTATAACCAAAATTTATAAATATTTGTGAATTGTGTTAAAAACTAAATTTATTGCCATATTTAAAGTAGTTATTATTAATATGTCCAATGTTTGGAAAAATGAATTCATTTTACTGAAATAAAAAGGTTATGTTTGATAAACCATATACAGGATGATTCTTTAATATTTAAAAAAAAATCTGGACAAGATTCCCTGCATAAAAATATAAAAAAAACTTCCTATTAACTATTAGGTGGGTATCATGGTTTACAAAATACAGAATGTTGCAATTATTTAAAATATTTTCACTTTGTGTGTTCGGTTATAAAAATAATGGCCATCTTTTAATAATAACAAAAATAATATTAATTTATTTGCAGAAACAATAAAAAATATACATTAATGATTTACAATAAAACACAATTGCACAATTCTGCAAAAGGACTGAAAGGAAGTAAATACTGATACCAGTTTCAGCCCAAAAGAACAATAAATAATTCACAAAACAAAAAATATACATTTGAAGTAATTAGACTTAATTTATATATTTGAGGAGTGATTTTTCAAAAGGTAGTATTTCCATTTGAAACAATTTTTCAAAAAAATGACTATAACCTGTATAGGTTAGGGCAATAAAGATTATTTAAACGATGTGGCTCCCGTCCCAAGGCGGGACTTAACTTCGATCCCGACAGACGTCACACACTGTAAATCCGTTTTTATTCCCCGAGCTTTTATAATTGGTGTCAAGCTGGATGGCTTAGATGGTAGGGCGGTCGCTTGGCATGAGAGAGGTACCGGGTTCGATTCTACTAGAAGTTGTCAAACTTTTTTTATTTTTTTTATTTTATAAATTTGTTGTTTCTTTGTTAAAAAGTGTTTTATTTTTATCGTAACATAAATTTGCCCATTTTAGTTGGGTTTTTTGCTCAATGGGGCGGGGGGGGGCCAATGGGGCGGGGTCGGTTGGGTTGTGTTGTTGAGTTTGGGTTGGTTTGGTTTTATGACGTAACTAACGTGCCCTTAACATGTATACAGGTACAATTTATTATTATTATTATTTTATTATAACATAACAAATCTTAAAATTATGACGTCAATCGGGACTGAACTTAAGTCCCGCCTCGAGACGAGAGCCGCAGCGTTATTTAAAAGAAGAATCTGATGAATATTTAATAATACTTTAGACCTGCTGTCATATTTCGCCGTTAATATATGCCTTTTAACCATACCTTTGGGATTTTGTCAAAAAATTACATTAAAGTAAAAATGGAAATAAGGCCTTTTGAAAAATCACTCCTCATTTCAGTGCCATCCTAGAGGCATATCAGCTGTTAATTTTAATGATATATTATTGGCACACTACTTTGAATTTGTTTAAATATTTGATGAAACAATTAAAATAAAACTTTTTCTTTCTTAACTATTTTTTGCATTAGTAAAATACATCAAGTGAAAAATACATGCTCAAAATGTAAGGATTTTTAAACATGCAAAATAAAAATAAAACAGTTTTATCACAAACTTATTTATTTTTAGGATTTTCAGAAATGAAAAATCGAAAATAGGTATTTTCCAATAATGCAAATAATTACAAAAATAAATCTAAACTTATGTTATATTAATAATGTCAATTTAGGCAATATACCTTGCTGTCCTTAGATGTCCTAGATATCTAGATAACTGTTTAAGTATATATAAAGGTCTTAATTTAGAACACAAAAATAAATATATTGTATTATTTTCAAAAAATAGGACAATATTATCTTGACACTGACAAAAAATTAACCTTAATTTTTCTATCAAAGTCACGTGGTGGGACTTTGATATGTACAATGAATCAAGTAAAATTATTTAAACTTATTTACAGGTTAGATCAAAAACCCAAAAAGTAATTAAAAAATCATGGATTACAACCAAGCAAAGGCTGTTGGATAATCGAAGGGAATCTTGTTTGCAAAATCTTAAACAGCTTGATGTGATAATGAATTCCAATTTTATGGAGGCAAAGAAAAGACTGGGATTTCAGGTATGTTTTACTGTCACAAAAGATTTTTAACTTCAATTAAAATAAAATGGCAATTTTATTAAATACTGGTCATTTTATTAAATATTATGTAGAGATTGCAGATGCTTGATCACTTTTGAAAGCAATTATAAATGCTCAAGCATTTTTTTAAGTTAAAGGGATGTAAGCAAGAGAAAACAGTTTTTAAGTTCTAAGAGTTAAAAAAATTAATTTTGAATTTTTTAAGAATATTTAGTTATTAAGTATTTAACATAATTTTCTAATGTTTATTAATAATAAGTTATACCTAATGATGATTATGTAGTTTGGACTGTCAGAAATTTTTTTTTTCAAAAAGCTGCTATATTCGCCGCAGCGAATGTTTCAAATTGCGTCATCAATGTCGAATGTCAAAAACCGATTTTTCGACATACGGTTAGCTGGCGGTTCCTTGGATTAAATACGTAAAAGAAAACAAAAATAATTGTAATGTCTGTGCTTGGTTCAGAATTTGAAACATTCGCCGCGTCAACTATAGATGTCTCATTTATTTTGTGTCCATAACAACCTTTTTTAGATTTGTGATATATTATACCATACCTTCATTTGCAAGCTATACATAGGAAAAATACATTGTAGGTGGACCAGACAAGTTGAAGTCAGCGCAAAGCGAAAAAGTTCTCAGAAATTATATGGACGTAATAAAATTTTAATCGCCAGTAAACAAGGTCACCTGTTACGTCGCATGTTAGTCTACTCATCCACTCGTCAAAATAATTTCTGGGAACATTTTCGTTTCGCGCTGACCGCGCCGACTTCGACTTGTCTGTTCCACCTACAATGTATTTTCCCTATGTATAACTTGCAAATGAAGGTACGGTATATATTATAATAATACAGTACAGTAAGAACACAGCGTTGTTTTTTTTTAAACTTATATGCTTGATAATACATGAATTTATTTGGTGTGATTCCTTAAGTCATTTTGTACTACTCTTTTTGTAAAAAAATATCAGTGGACATGTTTGCAGGGACTGGCAAAGCAAAAGAATAATAAAAAATATGTAGTTTTATACCAAAATTTAAAATAATAACTAAAGTAACTTACTTTTGATAATATTAAAAAATAACACTTTAATTAACACTGTAGCAAAAAGTTTAAGCCGTTAAGGACATGAACTTTTATTTACAAATTGACTTGAGGAATCACAGTATGAAATTCACGATAGTTTTTTAAATGTTAACTATTTAAAATAATCCGATATACTCTAGATCAGCGGTTCTTAAACTTTTTTTTCGCATACCATTCATGTGCAATGTGGATTAATCGAGTACCACCGAACTAAATAAAACAAGTTGTGCTGCGTGTACGTATTTATTAAACTTGTAGTTTAATAAGAAATATTGATAACCGTGAAACAGTACCAATTTTTATTGTATTAAAACAACAATTTGTTAGAACAAAACAAAGTACGCATGACTCGTCACGATTTTAAAACGAGCAGGGGATTACCCGTTTAATAAACACCAACAACAGTGTTGCCTTTTACAATATTAAATGTGGGAAATGATAGATTTTCACTAAAATTGAGCCAACGATAATTTTATTTGAAGGCAAGTACATCTATTATCTATTCGCGTACCACCTTTGGATGGTACGCGTACCACAGTTTGAGAACCGCTTCTCTAGATTGTTTAATAATAAATGATTTATAAAAATTTCACTTTTATTTAGAAAAAAGTTTTGTTCTTTTAGTATAAAAATATAACATAAAGTTTTTAAAATAAAGCAATAAAATATAATATATTGTATTCTAAATACATTGCTAAATTTCACTTCGTTGATATATATATATATATATATTTAAATTAAATGTTATACCGTTGAGTGAACCTTAATCAATGGTTATACCTACATGCTTTAGTACACAAAATAAAAAAATTGTGCACCAATGGTAGGTATATCTAGAGATGTAAAAAACAGTTTTTTTTAAGTTTGAAAAAAAACACAAAATCCGCTACAATTAAGAATATTCTGTTAATAAATAACATCAATTTAAAAAATTGAGTATTTTTTCAATATGAAATTTTGAGCAAAATGTATATTAATAATAAATTGAAATTTAGAATATACATATGTATGTATTACATTTTCAATTATTGAAAATTTTGACTGAGACTAAAAAATTAGATTTATTATTATTTGGTAGTTTCCACATAAGAAACCAATAACAATGTAAAACTTTTATATAGACTATAGATTTATTATAGGCACCTAGTTACTTAAAAAAAAAAAACAAAAACAAAACAAACCCTGACGCGTGATTGCCGCAGGTGGAGAGCGCGGCCCTTATTGGTCAACTCGGTGAAGGTGGCGCGTGCATAGCGCATTTACTAAATGTCATTTAGTGGCTACATTTAAGTCTATGAACTGGACTGGAAACATAAAAAATTAGGCAAATGGAACTAATCTTTAAAAAACACTAAAATATGAACAAAAACTATTTGAAAAAAAAGCGGATCTTTTTTTTCAAGTCACATCTCTAGGTATGCCACACTGTAATTTAATACAAATTTTAATATAAAAAATTACCAATTTACAAATTAAATTATCTTTACTTTTTTTTAAATAATATAAGAATATTTATTTATATATTAGCTGTATTAAAAAGGATTACACAAAATTTTCTAATGAAGTTAAAATTTGTCAGTAATTACAAAGTTATTATGATTTAAAGTTGGGGATCCGAAAATACATATGTTATCCATGTTAACTTCAAGTTGCTGTAGATGCGTTGTAGATTTTGTTTTCATAGCAATTGTTTTTAGATGATTCTTTAATCGGCTTAAAAAATATACAGCGTTGTCGATTTTTTTTTTAATTTACCATATGTGATATGTGAAAACTTTAAAAATCAAACTGATTTTTCAATGTTTATTTATGCACAAATGCACAAAATAACTTTTTTCAGAATTCTGTAAAAATCGGCAAAATTCTGCAAACTCTGAGGGCCGAACCAGAAGAACTGGCCAGATTATTATTTCTTGGCGAACATTTGACTGAAAATTATCACAGAGTATTGCAAACCCTCGTCAATGGCTTGTATGCTTGTTTTTTGTTTTCTGAAGACAAAAAACACATTTTAACATTGTTATATGAATTAGCCAAACTTCAATTAGCACAGATAGAGGAACCTAGAAGGTAAAAATTGAGCTTAAGTTATTTACATATTGTGTTAATTTTTTTTTAGTATTTTAAAACAAGGAAATTGCTCATTTAGAAATTTGTATTTATTGTTTAATGAAGTTTCACATCAGGCTAAGTTCTTTTTAAGTGCATCTCTTGAAACTCCCATTGTTGAGTTATTGTGTAATAGTTCAAATTATCTAGATTTGGATCCTGATAAGAGCCTAATGAGGTAATTATATTGAATGATTAAAACAATATTATTTCTATTGACACATTCTTTATAGATTCAAGCAAGATATTCAAAATAATCACAAAGATTTTGAAGAATACCGCGAAGAAATCGTCAACAAGCTGGTTGAACTAACTAACTGTTTTGTGTCCTCTCTATTGGAAAATGTGTACGCATTCCCAAAATGCATTGCTTGGATTGTTTACCAAGTATCAAAAATAATCGAAAAATCCTTCGGACTGAGGGAGTCTAACGCAATGATAACAGAATTAATATTCACCCTATACATTTGCCCTGTAATTGTTGACCCTGAACAATACGGAGTCTGTACCCTTGAGGTTACTGAAATTGCTAGACACAATCTGATGCAAGTTGGGCAGTTACTGCAGAATTTGGCGTTGTACAAACATCAAAAACCCGAAACTAAGGAGGTCAGTGTTTTCACTAGATTGGATAAAAAAGGTATTCTGGAGTTTTTGGATTTGTTGTTTTTCGAAGTTGACAATATCAAGGAACCTCCTGTGGAAAGTGCTCCAATGTTAATAAGGGATATTTTGCTGTTTACTGAGTCGGAGCTTTATGTACTGGTAAGTAAAATGACAATATATTTAATGTTTTATAGAAAAAAAATTCTAAATACAGAAAAGTTAAACAAATAAAACCACTACCACACAAAAAAGCATATTTGGAGTAACATTTTAAAACAAATTAATAGTTTTGAGTTGTAAGGGTTTTAAAATGGTATTTTATAAAAAGTATTGATAACATCTTCCCAATCACATTTTAAAAAGAAGCAACAATTTGTTAATATGTAATAACAAAGTTAAGATGATTTCAAGGTTTGATTTTTTGACACTTACTATTGACACACTATTATTGGGCCATTCCACGCTTAACGGATAGGACAGTTGCCGTGTTTTTATTTACAAAATAATATTGTTCTATTATATTACCAATGTCAAATTTTTATAAATAGTTCTAAACTAAAGCTGTTTAACAAGGTTTTTATTTGGCAAAATTAGGTATCGTCCGTTACGCTTTAAATTATTAGTTTTTAAGGAATTAAACAGTCAACCACGATACCTAATTTTGCCAAATAAAAACCTTGTTAAACAGCTTTAGTTTAGAACTATTTATAAAAATTTGACATTGGTAATGTAATAGAACAATATTATTTTGTAAATAAAAACACGGCAACTGTCCTATCCGTTACGCGTGGAATGGCTCTATTATTATTATTAATTACAATAAAAAAAAATATTATTATTTTTCATTTTATTTTAACATATTCTATTGAAAACAAAAAACAAAAAATTTATCGCAAGGCTAGCCATAGAAACACCTATTTTCTTGTCCCTATGGAGACGGTAAAATTCAAATTTACCATAGTCTAGGAAGAATATTATAGTGATTTGATAAAATAATATCAAAACATTGTAGGTTAAAAAAGCCATGTATAAAATACACATAAAGACAAAATAAATTTGTTGCAGGCACAAAATCTTAGTTTTATAAATTGATATTCTTAGTTATGACGAAACATAATAAAATTGACATTTATATTATAAAATTTGCTTATTGTTATTGTTCATTTAAGGTGTCGTTTTTGCAAAGAGTAATGCACGAAAATAGAAATAACAACGACATCGACAAAACTCCTTTGCGTAAATTATCTTTGGAAGAGCAGTTGGCAAATTTGAGTATCCACGTTCCAATTGATCCTCCTAGAGTCCAAAGATCGACTTCAGCAGACGATTCTGGGTCAAACCGATCGAAATTCTTTACAGGTACCTATAATTGTCTGAACTTTTTTTAAATGATAATTTTAATGTTATTTCAGTAAAAAACAGTCCTCGCAATATAGAAGAAGTCAGAACGAATGTTGTTCTAATTTTTTCCATAGAGGGCGTAGATTGCGAACCCATAGGCCTCTTGCCTGAAGAGAAAATATGTGAAAATATTAAAGAAAACGATAATATTCTGTATAAAAATGTTGCCGAAGAAATTGTAGATAATACCAATGCAAACGGCGATATTAAGCCGTCGTATGCGAATTTAGCCGACGAAGGCTCCATCGGTAATACTTCCGATAATTTAGAAGCTATTTCCGAAGCTGCGAGCAACCATTCCGTCGCTAGTAGCCTGGAATTGGAGAATGAAGATCAGAATGATAATTTATCGGACATGGTTTCTGCTAATGTGTCGGGTCGAGGATCACCAAACATTTCTGGACGTGACACGCCAAGTTCTCAGGTAATGTGTTTATTGATTTTTTATGTATTGTTTTTTTTACTTACTCTAAAGAGTATAGAAACATTTAGAAAATAAGTAACAAAATTCATATTCAAGTTCAAGGTCGATCATATTTTTTATGGTTAATTGTTGTTATATTAAAGCATAGGAGGCAATAAATGCTTTAAATTTAATTTTACAAGCTTTGTAACTAAATAAATTACATGCTATTACGTTATTAGATTCCAAAATTTTTCGATTTAATAATAATAATAAATTATTTTTTTTATTGTGTATAGAGATGTGAAAATATGTTTTTTTTTCAAATCCGCTACAATATTCGCATATTCTGTCAATAAATAACATCAATCTTAAAAAATATAGAATATGTAACATTTTTCATTATTGAAAATTTTGACTGAGAGTGAAAAATTTGATTTCTTATTATTTGGTAGTTTCGCGGCCCTTTTTGGTCAATTCGGTGCCAATGTCATTTAGTGGCTAAATTTTAGTCTATAAACTAAACTGGAAACATAAAATATTAGGCAAATGGAACCAATCTTGAAGAAAAAAAACACAAAAAACGGATTGTTACATACAAAAGAGGGAAATTTAGTTTACATTACTGTATGAGCCATTTTAGTACAACGTAATTTTCCTATGATTCGAAGGCAGTATAAACCTAAATTGCCATAGTAAATAAAATTCCAGCTGGTTTACATCCAAAAGGCCCATTTTGACATTGGATTAAGGAAAGCTGCTCTATAATTAAGATTAAGTATCTGTCAGTTTAACGCCAATTTTATTATGTTTTAAAAAAGCGTATAAAGCTCATAATTTTGGACACAAATATATATTTATCTACTCCTACATTGACGAGCTGTAAAATATTGGGAAAAAGTGAGGTTAAATTCGGGTGGCAATTGACAGAATCTGATGTCAAAATTTTAACAAATAAAATTGGCTTTAAATTCTGTTTTGTGTTCGTCGTAGATAAAGTATAGTATGCAACTCGTTTATAAACTTCTCTAGACAATGGTTTTTATTAAACACTCGCTCGCAAGCTTCGCTCGTGCTTAATTCAACTCGTAACTAAAATGGCGTTTATAAAACTTGATACATAATATACTATTATTTATACTTTCAATTTATGCATTCAATAACATTGTAAGTGACATGTTTGTACTTAGCAAAAATGTTCTAACCTTTATTATGACTTCATGTCATCAAGTGTGCGTTCCGCATTCAAATTTTCAAGTGGGCCTTTTGGGTGGGGAGCATAGTACCTAGGAAACTTGAAAATAAGTTATATTACCATTATATGCTATTTAGTATATGCTTTTTAGGATTTTGGTAAATATCATTTTTAAGTCACCAAAGTTTCTCTGCAATCAGTTTTTGGCAGTGGCGGCTCGTCAGGGTAGGCCTCTGAGGCCGCGCCTCACCCTTAAAATGAAGGAACGAACGACTTTTTGTATTTATATTTTTGCCTATTACAAGTGTATTTTTACAACAGTTCTACCCAATAAAAAGTAAAAAACCAATCAATCATACTAAGCGTAAATAAAAATCCAGGCGCAAAGCGCGTCAAGTTAACGTGCATCGTTGAAAGTCGCTTGGACAGAGGCGAAATTTTCACAGCCTCGGAAGCTCCCATTTACCTCTTGAAAGCGAAAATGACTCACCAACAAAAATATCGCCGTAAGTTCGCGAATAAACACCGTAGATGAGGCGATATTTAGTTAGCTTGGTTTGTTCTGATTGGCGGTCCGTTTATGGTGGGATGCCAGCGGAGACAAAGAAGGTTGCCAGTCTTCTCTTAGCGTTTGTAGATGACGTTATTGTTTTGATTCAGATTAAATTATTTAAAACTTTTGGCTGATCTTTTATAGTTTTTGTCTCGATTAGTAAAATTTCTTATTAAATTATTGTAGGGAACACACTAAGGTAGATTTAGCAGTTTTTATTAAGCAAATTTTATATTTTGAAATAATAGATTGCATAATTCTTCAATTAGAGACGCGGTTTGAAAATTTAGAATTACTTTTAAATCTCACTGCAGACCCACAATTTTACGACCAAATAATAGATAAATTTTCAATCTTAAAAGATAGACGTATAGTATTTTATATTTTTTAATACTTAGGTAGGGGTCGACTTTTTAGTTTTATTTTTATTTTTTGATTAATTTATTTATTTTTAACTTTTTTAAGACTATATTTTAAGTTTAAGATTAAAACTAGTCTTTGATGTGATATTTTGTTTGTTTTGTTTTTTAGAGTTTATTTTTTGGTTTAGTAGTGCTATCGGCTCCATTTTAAAAAAGGTCAACGCGTCGCAGAATAATACCTCCCGGGTGACGTGGAAATTTATTCGTATTTAGACAAAATTAACCTTATGTAGCCTCACCCTCCTGTACACCCACGAGCCGCCACTGGTTTTTGGTGGCATTTTTATGTGACTTAAACTTTGTTCAGACACACCGTGTAGAATGGGTCATTTATGGATGCTGTGTCTTCATTTTTATCTTCATTAACATCCTCATCAACCCCTCGCGCTCAGCGACGTAGCGATTTTAGTATATTCTAAATTTTTAAATATTTTTTGCTGCATTATAATTTTAAATGATTGTTGTATTATAAAGACTTTTATTGTAGAACCTCTTAAATATGGTATATTTTAATATTGATAAAAAAATGTGTTAAGGGTTATCGCATTATTATGAAAACATATTTTTTAACACTATTTGCAGGTAAACGAGATCGAAGACCGAGTGGAAGCAAGACCAGCCGATGCCGCGCCAGCCACTGGTCAACTTACAAGACAAATCCGCTCGGAAATCGACGACAAATTCTGCAAGTTTGAAATAAAAAAACTCCTCGAGGGCGACGAAACCATATCAATTATATCGGAAACCTGGAGCACCGACGTTCTAGCGTCGGACAACGAGACAATCGACGCGAACGAATCGCGATTGGAACGCCAGAACTTTCAGCTCGTCGATCAAGCAATCCACGAGGTACCCGTCGAAAACATTCTCGACATTTCGGAGACGCAGAGCGAAAGTGCGTGGTCCACGGACGTGACGGCCTCAGACACCGAGAGACTGATCGAGATCGATAACGACGACGCTGGCAGCGTCGCCCAATCGGACGACACTAACAGCGTTGCCAGATCGGACGACACTAGAAGCGAGACGGACGAGAATGTGGCGGGTTTGAGGAGATTGTCGAGCTCTTCGAATTCCTACTCCAATAATCCAACGCCCGTATACGCGGCCAATACGTTGCAGGAGTACAGAAAGGAGACCAAAAACGAGAGGGTTAACGGGAAGATATACCACTCAGAACAAGTCAAAGTGGATACTAACGCTAATAACGTTCTGTTCAAAAGCGACACTCAGCAAGCGCACAACTCCGTGACATTCTCGGAAAACAAACGCGAGATCAAAACCACGTACAACTCGAGAACGAGCACCTTGACCACAGTGGTGAACAACCGAGTTGTCGCTGTAAACGGCAAAGACGCCGACCCGAGCGCTCTAGCGGGACCCAGCGGTATTAATAAGCACCGCGATTCCGTCGACTCACCTTTAAGCTTCCTCAAGCAGAACCACAAAAAATACGAGGATGCCAACGAGATTCTGCTGAGCAACTGCAGCTTGAACTCGAGCTCGAGCGGCTCGAGCAGCAACAGCTTCGAGAACAAAAACTCTCACAACGAAACCGAGAATTCCGAGCGTTGGGAGAACAAACAGTGGCTAAACAGTTCTGGCAGCAGTTTGAATGTTACTTTAACCCCCTCTGAAAGCACCAGCGAGCTTTCAGTGCTCAGTGTTAATAACATAAATAATCCTTCGAATATACTCAACAAAAAATCCGCTACTCTACTCCTGCAAAGAGGGTTCAAGCCCTCCATTTCCACGGGCGCGATTCCGAAAAGTATTAGTTTCGATACCAGTGCCGATAAAGGTTTGGATGATGACCAAAAGAAACGTGGCAGCATTTTTGGAAAAATTCGTATGGGTTTTAAGAATAAGAGGGGCAAATGTAACAGGAACGATGATGGCAGGTTGGAGTCCGAAGAGTATTCAGCCATTAAAAGGCTTCCACCAGCGTCGCCAATTAAAAATAACACAATTAATACTGGTAAGTGCCGTAAGATAGATAATTTAATTTGAGGAGCGTCCCGTCAAATTAAATATGTCCCTCTGATAAAATTTTCAGGAGAACGAAAAAACTGTTTTTAAATTAAGCGCACATTAAATTCTTGCAATATAGATCCTTTTGGGCTCCCTAGCACCCCTGAATAGGCCATTGTAATCAAAATACATTAAATCAACTTTTAGGAATGGACATATTTGTTTATGACCAGATTGAACTTTTTTTTTTTTGATCGGATCTTACCAAGTCTTATTTGTTTTTGATCAGTCCTACCCTCCTAATTTGACTTTACCAATGAGATTAGATAAATGCATTTATTGTTAATATTGTAATGAAAAAACCTTTTTTTTTTCAATTAAAAAGTCAAAAAAATGAAAACCACTGCCTAGTCAATGTGATAAGTAAAATCCTTTCACCGGATTGACTATCGCATCAGACATTTTGCAGAATGCCTTAAACAGCGCAGTAAATTCGCAGACTGTCTAAAATGGTAGTGATTTTGCACAATGTCTGGTAAATTGGTCTGTTTGCAGAGTGTCTAGACATTTCGCACTTTGCCGCTAACATATACAGTGTGTATTAAAACGAATAGATACACTTAAATAAAACAAGTGCCAAACCCCGCCCACTGTGGTAGGGCTGTACGCAGGAATTTTTATGATTGGCTAGGGTATTGTTTAACTGCTGCTGTTGGTCTATTTGAACATTTAATTTAGAAAAAAGTTATTTTCGTTATTTTAGAATTATTTTTGTTTGAAAATTTTGTTTTAATGCATTTCTGCCAATAAAAACGAAGTATTGTTTAAAATCCTTTAAATTCCAGTTAATGGCGAAAATGTATTTCTTAAAAAACTATACACATTTCCCTACGACAGCGTCGGAGCTACTGAACAAAACTGCATGCCCTTGTATCTGGCTGCATGCCGCGCTGTTGCCATATGCTATTATTGTTTCCTAAAAGAGTTGTTTTTCTTATTTTTTAATATTAAAAGTAAGAAAATTAACTAAATCAAATTATTTTTGACATATTATTAATTTTTTTGTTATTTTTAAACAAATAAAATTTATTTATTAAATAATTATAATCGTTCTTTTCTGATTTAAAACAACCTGGCAACTATGGTTCGTAATTACGAATGGCTTGGTTTAAATCACCAATTAAATTTTGTTTCTTTTTCTCTGATCAGAATATAATTTGTCAGCCTTACTTATTTGATTCTATACAGTCTGTATACATATTTTGTTTAAATATTTTGTCCGAATTTTCACAAAAATTGTGCAAATATTCAATGCATACTTTGTGCGTAAATGCGGACACCACCTTGAACAAATTTTGTGCAAATGCCTGAAATCCAACGTATACAAAATACGTTTGAATTCAATTGCAAGATGTGTTTCAGGGGTACCAAATTTATCTTAATATTTCGTAATAGAAATAAAGAGTCTTTCGATATTTGACGAACTAGTTTTTGGTTTTATGAAATTAAATTTTAATATTGGATTAAAGTTTTGAAAACAAATCTTCCGTCTTATCATTTGGGGAAGGGGCTTCACGAATTTTATATTTTCGCTTTCACAGGAGGGTCTAAAATCATTGAAAGTTTGTTTATGCACCCTAAAAAACAACTAATCATATTTTTCTTCTCAGATTCTTCTGATGATATTCTTGCAAAATACAGAAACAACAAACCCTTCAATGAGAGCAGCCCCATCAAACAAAACTCTTCTGCGAAATCTTCAAGTAGCAGGGCCGTGGTTGACAGAAATTCCGGTATAAATGGATTTAACGACGTAAAGAAAAAACTAAGGTTAGCTCTGTGCAACACGTCGGAAATTCCCTACCACGTTAAGGTAAATACAATAAATCAAAACCAAGAGATAATTTATAAAAATACGATACAAGGTTATAAAGGTCATACGCATGATATCTTCTAATTATATCATGCCCAGCAAACAAAATTTGGGCAATTCTTTGGTAGGTGTTAAAATATGTAAACATTTGGGCAAATAACAATAGTAAAACTCCCAGCGTCCTTAAATTTTATTTATTGCTAGAATTTTATAGATCTTACATATATCATTGGCTGATGAGCGACGATTTTAATTTATAAAATTTTAATTTATGTTGTTGGTAACATTTTTGCTGTAAAATATTAATTTACACTCCCTGATAGTCTGTAGGCCCCTTATTGAATAACTAACGCAACCCGCTTTCAACAAGAATTTTGTAATACCTTGAATTTATATTATATAAAATTTATTATTATGTAGATATAAAAACAACTATGTTTTTTTGAAAGTTTCACGGGATTTATTTAATTTTTGACAATTGATTCGTCACACAGTGACTTCTTCACACTAAAGGCATATAATTAAATTTATTAGAATCATACAATAAGAATATATTATACTACAATAAATTAGGATTTTCCATCATTATTCTCTTTCATTGTATTAAGCAATTTTTGTTCAGGTAGACCCAAAAATTTTGTACCCTAAAACATTGTTTTATATAAACTCACTTAATTTTAAGTTTAAATACAGTCTGAAGAAGTCACTGTGTGACGAAAAAATTGTCAAAAATTAAATAAATCACGTGAAACTTTCAAAAAACATAGTTGTTTTTATATCTACGTAATAATAATAATATAGAGTTTCATTAAGTAAAGGTCGAAACAATGAAATATATAAAATTTACTTACCACCACTGATTGTTTAAATTAATTGGCCTTTGAAATTGACGATTACTAGGCAATGATGGAGAAATTAGGTACTATAAAAGTTCAAGAGTAGATAATTTTTCCATTATTGCCTCTTAATAGAACATTTCAAACCCCAATAAAATTTTGCCTGTGGGAACGTCAGTCACAATTATTAGCTAATATTAATGAATTTGTCTCAGAAATGTGCCCAATCATTTGTTTGCTAGGTACTTTAAGGTGAAAGCCTATTTTGGAATGACTTGAATGTTAAACTTAATCAAAGTAAATATCGAAATAATATTATTGACTGTAAGGGTGCGTTTCAGAAAACGTCCTAGTTTATTTTACCATGGATATCAGGAATACTTTTTATATACTTAAAATTTATTATGAAAAAATCTGTTAAAAATGAATTTTTCATAATGTACATAATGTTGATTTGAAGTTATTTAAAATAATATTGAGTAAGATCACGTCAAGTGGACCCCCCATTTACCTCTTGATCGTGGAATTCAAATAAATATATTTTAATATAAAGTAGTCACCATCAATAATAAAACCCTAAAACAGTTTTTTGAAATTTTCATTTTAACACCAATTTTTTTTACAATGAAAATTTTGGAGACTTTTAATTAAAAAATAGATAACAGAAAAACCGTTAGAGATATTTTAATAAAATTTTCAGGATTTATTGTTTAATATTCACATTTTGAAAAACAATTAATAATTTTAAATTATTTATTTATTATCATATTTTTAATTAACTTTTAAATAAACAAATAAAAATTTTAATGACTTCTCCCTCAAATTATAAATTTGTTTTATTTCAGTTATATGCATTGTACACTTTAGTTAAATATTCTGCAAGAAAATTCCACTGCTCGCTATTAGTTTAAACAATATTAATTTATTCCCGAGCGCGAGCGCTCTCGGTATAGCGCGCTGCCGCGCGCCGTAGACTCGGCATCCGCTCTAATCAGTATTAATAAATAATAAACTGTCGTTGACAATAGAAAACCATGTTATTTAACAAATTTAATTTTTTTAATGTAATAATTATAACAAATAGATATTATATCTACTGTTTTTATTGTTTTTTTAAATTATCTTTATTTCTTTTTTATATATAAACAATAATAACAAATTAAGTTAACAAGCCATTCACAATTTTCAACAATTTTTTTACAATGAAAATTTTGGAGAGTTTTAATTAAAAAATAGATGACAGAAAATCCGCTCCAATCGGTATTAATAAATAATAAACTGTCGTTGTTGACAATAGAAAACCATGTTATTTAACAAATTCAATTTTTTTAATGTAATAATTATAACAAATGTAATAATTATAACAAATATATTATTATTATTTATTTCTTTTTTATATATAAACAATAATAACAAATTAAGTTTACAAGCCATTCAAAATTTTCAACAATTTTTTTACAATGTAAATTTTGGAGAGTTTTAATTAAAAAATAGATGACAGAAAAACCGTTGGAGATATTTTTAATTAACTTTTAAAAAAACAAATGAAAATTTTAATGGCTTTTTCCTCAAATTATAAATTTGTTTTTTTCAGTTACATGCATTGTACACTTAAGTTAAATATTCTGCAAGAAAATTTCACTGCCCGCTATTAGTTTAAACAATATGAATTAATTTATCCCCGAGCGCGATCGCTGTCGGTTCAGCGCGCTGCCGCGGCATGCCGCGCGCCGTAGACACGACCACCGCTCCAATTAGTATTTAAAGAAAATAAACTGTCTTTTACAATAAGAAACAATGTTTAAAAAAAAAAATATTTTTTTTTAAATGTAATTTATAACAAATAGATATAATATTTGTATATATTTATAAATAAAGACTATAATCATTAACAAATAATTAAATGAAACATAAATTTTCCCTCAGCATGTTCCTTTTTTATATTTTTTCTTAAAAATTTTAAATTTTGAATTATTTTTCAATCCTAAAAATTTCATTAAAATATCTCCAACGGTTTTTCTGTCATCTATTTTTTAATTAAAACTCTCCAAAATTTTCATTGTAAAATTTTTTTTGAAAATTTTGAATGGCTTGTAAACTTAATTTGTTATTATTGTTTATACAAGGTGTCCCTAAACTTAGTGGCATAAATTTAGGAGCAGATTAAGCAATTCAAAATAAGAGGAAAATCTAAATAAATATTTTTCCTAATGACATATGTTTAAAAGTTACAGGGTGATAAAGTGTTACTTATCATATCAGTTTTTTTAATATAACTTCTACTATGGTAGACTTGGAAAGGTGATATTTTGCCAACAGTCACTTACTACCAAAACACATATTCACACATAATTACAATTGTTTGAGTGAACACAGTGTCGTAGAAACGGGGGTTGCTTTAAGCTTATTGTCCCATACAAACTTTGAGGTTAGGTTTTTGTAACATTTGATGCAATTTATTGATTAAACAGTTCGGCAACCATTAAAAAGGTGTACCTCTCAAACTTCGATAAAATAAACCGTTTCCGAGATATTTGAGATAATTGTTTTATCGCATTATTTCAAAGGATTAAAAGGTATATCATATATACCGTATATGATAACAAATTTTATTTTTTAATTGAAAAAACTAAAAAGGCATTCCATGAGCCTCGGGACTTTTTGCCCTGACCGTCACATTAAAAAAAAAGTAGTTTTGTCAATTAATTTTTTTTATCATATAACTTTTAGTCCTTTAATGCGATATAACAATTATTGTAATCTCGAATATCTCGAGAACGGTTAATTTTATCGAAGTTTGAGAGGTACACCTTTTTAATAGTAGCCGAACTGAGTAATCGAAAAATTGCATCAAATGGTATAAAAACCTAACCTCAAAGTTTGTATGGGACAATATGATTAAGCAACCCCTGTTTCTACGACACTGTGTTCACTCAAACAATTGTAATTATGTGTGAATATGTGTTTTGGTAGTAAGTGACTGTTCGCAAAATATCACCTTTCCAAGTCCACCATAGTAGAAGTTATATTAAAAAAACTGATATGATAAGTAACATTTTATCACCCTGTATCTTTTAAACATACGTAATTAGGAAAAATATTTATTTAGATTTTCGTCTTATTTTGACTTGCTTAATCTGCTCCTAAATTTATGCCACTAAGTTTAGGGACACCTTGTATATAAAAAAGAAATAAAGATAATTTAAAAAAACAATAAAAACAGTAGATATAATATCTATTTGTTATAATTATTACATTAAAAAAATTAAATTTGTTAAATAACATGGTTTTCTATTGTCAACGACAGTTTATTATTTATTAATACTGATTGGAGCGGATGCCGAGTCTACGGCGCGCGGCAGCGCGCTATACCGAGAGCGCTCGCGCTCGGGAATAAATTCATATTGTTTAAACTAATAGCGAGCAGTGGAATTTTCTTGCAGAATATTTAACTAAAGTGTACAATGCATATAACTGAAATAAAACAAATTTATAATTTGAGGGAGAAGTCATTAAAATTTTTATTTGTTTATTTAAAAGTTAATTAAAAATATGATAATAAATAAATAATTTAAAATTTTTAATTGTTTTTCAAAATGTGAATATTAAACAATAAATCCTGAAAATTTTATTAAAATATCTCTAACGGTTTTTCTGTTATCTATTTTTTAATTAAAAGTCTCCAAAATTTTCATTGTAAAAAAAATTGGTGTTAAAATGAAAATTTCAAAAAACTGTTTTAGGGTTTTATTATTGATGGTGACTACTTTATATTAAAATATATTTATTTGAATTCCAAGATCAAGAGGTAAATGGGGGGTCCACTTGACGTGATCTTACTCTATTCACATATTCACAGTAGAGATGTAAGTGACAAAATATGTTTTTTGTTTTTCGCAAAAAAATATATTTAACAGTAAAACATAATTTAAAATTTTAGAAAAACTGGTTGGCTTTAGGAAAAAAAAGTAAATATATTTTTGGTCATATAAGTCGAATCCCTAAAATTAGAATTTAAAGATATACGAAATTTAAGTTTTTAAAATTTGATTTGATTCTGGGCTCGTATTAATAATGTTTTCCGCTATTTTAATTTTTTAGTTACCAAAACAATTAAAATTTGTAAAATATTTAAAGATTAAATCAAAATAATAATTGTTAAAA